TTAAATGAAAATAAGGTAAATCCTTTCTAAACCATATGTATTTTTTTTTTAACCACAAAAATATGAAACAAAGTAAAGGCGATCTCGCCTAGAGGAAGCCTCGACCACGTGTCAGAGCAGGGAAAATGGCTGCGGGTCATGTTCATCACCCAATGCAGAGTTCGCGAATGGAAGCAAAATTTTGCGAACGCTGCTGTTCGCGAGCCGAATTGTTCGTGAATAGAAGCGTTCGTGAACCGAGGTATTACTGTATTTATTATGTTGTTTATGGTGTTTTTAACTGTTATCAGCCACCCAGAGTCAGGATTTTGAGATGGGCAGCCACAGAAGTTGAAATAAATAAATTCCCTCATGCAAGGTTTTTCCCCAGGCCTAGAAACAGTGTTCCCATGAACAAGGGAACCCTTCTGTCAATGGAGGAGCAACTCTGGGTCTTAGATTATACATCAGGTGCAAAGAGCAGATCCAACAACTGAAATGTTCTTCTTTTCCAAAACAGCTCAAACATACAAGTGGATAACCTGAGTTCTCATCACTTGTCAATACCAGTTTACTGCAGATCCATATGATCTTCCACATTTACTCCAGAAGGCAGATGATCTTGAATTAGAGATGGCTGTGGCAAAGGAATATAATTTAAAGGGGAAAAACCTCATTGCTTTATTACTATATTATTAGCAGATCTAAGACAACCCTATTTTAAAAGTGAATTATTTGGGAGAAAAAAATCTAGTTTCCTTTCCAACAGTATTCCCCATGAAACAGCAAATTTAGAACCATTAATAAAAATCCATTTACATATTCAAGATAATGTTCTTCCCTGGGGGGGGAGGGGTTCTATGTGTGTGCAATATGTGCAATGCGCATTAAAAAGGGGCAGGGCTTTGATCCTGCAGTTGCACCAACCTTCTTAACTTTTGGGCCCCTCACTGCAGACACCCCTGTTATCCCCATTTAAAAATACATAAAATGTAATCAGAAGAGAAATGATGTAATCAGAAGAGAAATGTTTCTTTTACATGTATGTAGGAATGAATTTCTCTTTCGAGTTCTTGGTCAAAAAAAAAAAAAAAAGGGCAGGAATCTACCAGATACAATACCTCCTGCCTGATATTGCCCAGATTTGAAAGGATACTCACTTTTGTTGTGATTTTCTTTGATATTGATATTAAATTCCCTATGGAGAAATTCAGGAGCATTGTCATTTATATCTTTAATCTGAATGGTGAAGAACAAGGGATTGTCTAGCATTTTCTCAGTCTCTTCATGACGAACTTCGAAATAGACCTGAACAATAGGAAATCAGGTTAAATGATCACACAAGCAGAATGACTTCAGCCAAACTTTTGATCACTGCTTAATATTGCAGGTGGGGGAGTCATATATATGTGGGTATGACTAGGATTTGTCAAGTGGAGTTGAGTTCTGCTGCAGGGAGATTTATGGGTTTCTTAAAACTATGCTAGGCCTCCCATTATATTAATCTACAATATTTCAATTTATAATCAATCAATCAATCAATCAATTTAACTCACCAATCCTAGCCCTCATGGTCACTCTTGTAGTCTCTTACATCTTAAAGCCATTTGTTTGGGGAAAACTACAATAAATAAAAAGGCTGAGCAAATTCTTGGATTTTGTAAATAAGAGCTGGGTTTTAGATTAATGTTTAGGGTGCTTTTCTGCTAGATATAATTGAACATCTTCAATTTTGCCCCCCAAGGCTATTAAAAGCCACAGATTCAGTTATTCTATGACCATGCCTACAAACTATGTTATTTAAAAAAAACCTTGCAAAAGGAATGGGTACTATGAAATGAAGCACAGTGCAGTTAACAAGGGTGTGCTTTATGCAGTTCAAGACGTACAGTATAAAGGTTGTAAGCCAGATCATGAAGTTGTAATACTTATTTAGTAGCTAGAAAGTAGGCTGAGCAAGCGAATCAATTACTAGGATATAGTCTCATATCATCATGCAAACAACAGATGAAATCCAAGAGCAGGGAGGTCTTTACCCAGCTTTGGCTGGTACTTCAATTATGGCCCTACCTAGACCAAGATGCCCTGGCAACAGTAATTCATGGCATAATCAACACTTAATAGGACTATTCTAACACAATCTACATGGGGTTGCCACACAGTGGCTAAAGTGCTGGCCATCCACATTAGTGCAGAAAAACACTTACCTTAAAGTTATTGCACTGCTTCCTAATAGATTTCTAGGCCCAAATCATGCTGATCCCTACCTTTAAAGCCTCACTTAGTGCAATGCCAGGTTATATCAGGCAACACCCTAACAACAGAATCTGCCTATCCTGTCCGATCGTCATGAAAAGGTCTCCTGAGAGTCCCCCCTCCTTCCCAGGTATACAGGACAAGGTGTGAAAAGCTACGGGCAAGCTCCTTGCTTTTCAGAAGAGCTAATCTGTCATGCCTTTGGCCCAATGTGATTAGGGATGTTATGATGGGTTCAAGAGGAAGTTGCATTAGTTGGGATTTGTTTCATTTGGATTTTTTCTCTGTTTACTGAAGGACTTTGCCCAGAATCTGCAAAATAGATAAATAAGTACTGGAAAAGAGGGTGTTGTCTCTCGATCTATGCAACCATTCACGTATATTTGTCCGCAGGTCTCTTTGATAAAAAATAATCCAGGCACATCGAGTTTATTCATTGAATATTTTACGGATACACCCTGGGATACATCATTGGAAACCTATAAACAAAACAGATTGCAACATCTAGGTAAGATTTCCAATGTTTTTTCTAAACTATCTTATTTTTTAAAAAAATGAGGCAAATAATCCATAATTTTGTAAATGGAAATGAGTTATTTTTTCCTCTCCTTTCCCATGCAGGCTCTTTTTGCTTCCTAGTGAGTTGGACACCCTTCCAGTTGAGATTTTGACAGACCTGATTAGGAGCTGCATGCCTCTTCCACTAATAGAAATATACTACTGTATGCCAGCCATAACTGGAGGTATAGATTATTCTTTCACATTATCTCATCTTAACAGCTGCTTTTGTTATGATATTGCAAGCATGTTGCTAAATATGAGTTTTGACCAAGCTTGGGTAATTTACCATATATTTGCCTTTGAGTCAGTCTTGGCTCCTGACAACTGCATGGAGAAGTCCATGAAATTTTCTTGGCAACATTTTTTGGATGCAATTTGCCTTTGCCTTCTTCTTAAAGCTGAGAGAGAGTGACTGCCCCAAAGTCACCCCAGCTGACTTCATGCCCAAGGCAGGATTAAAACTCACAGAAAGTCTTGTTTTCTGACCCCACTGCCTTTAACCACTGCACCAAACTGGTTCTCTGGGATCATATACATAGTCCCTTAAGAACAGGCCTGCTGGATCAGGTTAAGACCCACCTTAGTCCAGCAATGAGTTACAGGGGCCAATGAGATGCCAATCAGGTGCTCACAAACAGGAGACAGAAGTCCAACTTCTCCTGCTGTTGCTCTTCAACTTGTATTCAGGGGTCACTGTGAGTCTGCAAGATTAATACCCCTTGACAGACCTGTCCTCCTTGAATGTAACCAATCCTCCTACATACTATACTATTCACATTACTGGTTATCATCACCAGATTTTACAGGAATAAATTCCCTCTAACCTGGTTATACATTATTTCAACTCTCTTTGTTGATTTTCACTTGGGTTTTTATTTTCTGCAAAACTACTTAAAAGAAACCCTCAAATTAAGCATGTACATAGATTCAACAAACAGGGTGGGACTGAAAGATTGAGGAATCAGGAACTATCAATCTTCTTAGCAGAAGTAAGAAGTAGCAAAATTAGAAAAAAAAATTATGAAGCAACTAAATATAAGTTGTACACCACCCAGAGCCACACTGTTTCAGTTGGGTAATCCTATAAATCAAATAAATAAATAAATAAACAAACAAACAAATAAATAGCAACATTTTTGTTTTTACCCCTCCAATCAGTTTTGGGAAATTCTTGTCTTCTTCTTCAACTTCAAGGATGTTATAGTGCCATTTCCGTTTCACACGATGCAAAGAATGCAGACTGTGGAATGGGCCCCCATCCTATGAATGAAAGGGTTCAGTTATATATCTACCTCTTGTGACATGCCCTTCTACAATCCAAATTACTGAGCAGAAGATCTTCAGATCATGTTCTGAAGCATTCTGAAAGCTTGCCTGGGATCAGCAATTGAGGATACACAATCACAAGCAACTACAACTCTTGGAAAGAATGTCTACAGTTCAGATAGAAGGTTGCAGGATAGACTTCAACATCTCTAGGTAAGAATGGAGAGGATTCTGCCTGCAGTGCTGCAAAGATGCTGCCAGTCAGTGTCCATAGTACTGAGTTAGACAGAACTAAGGTTCATTTCTGCACTGATATGCAATAACCTTTTTCAGCACAGGCTCTAAATGACATATATACATATGACTGGAGACCTCAAACAAGGGCAAGTACAGACAGCCTCCTTCAAGTTGAATTTGACTCCTTGGACATATAATCAATACAGTTTTCTGGGCAACAGTGCAGAAGGCCTTTGGGATAGTTTTTGGCTCCCCTGATTAGTCTAGCCTTGGGATCCCCTGATGACCTGTAGTCCAAATACTAACTAGGTCCAACCCTTCACACTTTGAAGCCTTAAATAGGCCAGCCAGGTACAACCACCCCCTAAGGTCAAAAAAGGGCAAGTCTTGTTTCTGATGAGGGAAAGCCATTCAAAGATTACTTCCAAGGGGCAGTAGGAGAATGTAATGGCAGGGCAATATAACTGAGGGATGGCATAGGAAATGTTCTGCCCATTATTTTAAAAAAAGAGTTGCAAAATAGACATGTGAGGTGAATTAACCCTCCGTTTTGTACCTTTTATCAGGGGGCAGTTGGGGGAATGAGAGCAAAAAATCAAGCAGCCCCCAATTCAATGGGTTTTGAGCCTGAATTTTTTGAAGCAGAATTTGGAGGTTTGTGTGAAAATCACAGATCACAGACCTAAAATCTGCTCAAGCTTATCAACATATAGCCGGAGATTCACTGCTGTAGTCATTCAATATGCTAAAACAGGTGGTTCAGAATGTCATGAGAAATCAGCCATGATTTTAAGTCCTAATATGGTCTATTTGTTTGAGAAGATGAGCAGCTGCACTTCACTTAGCCTTCACTAAACTTTCAGATTAAGTTCATCCTTGTGTGAATCTAATCCATATTTCATTTCAGAATATATTCCGATTCAAAGGAACAATAATACTTAATTTTACTGGGAATTTCAATTTGCATTTTAAATGAAAGTGCTTCACTGAAGGACTTGATGGTGTACCCACCTGATTGCTTCTCTTGAAATGGTCCTTATTTACACTGACATCCTTGCCCAGGGTATAATGGAAGCTATGGATGGCAAGAACCTTAATGGACAGGAAAAAGAACTAAAATAAGAATTGAGATAATTGTTGTAGCAAAGGTGTGTTTAACATTATGAGATGATAGATACACAGGCCAGGTCCCTACATGACACTACACCACCAAGTGTTTCATTTGTTTCTCTCTTCAATTGAGTCTCCTTACTGAACTAACTCAAGATATTTTAGCTGTGGTTTGCTGAAAAAGCTGTAGTAACCTCATCACCTTATAAAGTTAAACATAGTACAGCTTACACTCATACTGAAACAAAAAAGATATAAACCATATTATCATTTAGCATCATGATGTTTAAATGAAGGCTAAAAATCCTGGCTAAATATTACATGAGAATTCAACCACAAACCTGTAACCCACTGTTGCCTAGTGTTTGATCAAATATATCCATTTACAAGTGATTTCCCCCTTCCATTATTTGATTTACAGTAAAATATAATGATGCCCGGAGCTCAGCTGGACTCTTATACATGGATACAGTGTAGTTTTCTTGGCAGTGTCATGGACCTGGCATGTCTTCTGTGATGATTTTCAAATTCCCAGTTTAGCCTACAGCCCTAGTATTCTCTAGCGTCTCCCATGCAAGTTTTAACCAGATTGGACTCTGCTTACTTCGCAGGCTGAGACCACGATACCATACATTAAGTTTTGTCCAAGGAACAGAACAGAGGATTATCCTCAACTAAAATAGAGGTGACAATTTACTCATGAAGCAGGAAATTACTATCCTTAAAAGGGGTGGATCCAAGATGGTGATAGAGTGACAGCTCTGTAAAGCGCTCTTGAACTTTTACTCATTTTAGTGTTTTTCTTTAGTGTTATTCAAGTAGTTTTAGTAATTAGTTTGCTACCCTAACTTCAAACAGTTACCAAGGAAGCAAAATTATAAAGCAGGAACAAAAAAAGGATTTGAAAAGAAAGATTAAAAGGAGGCACAAACCGGAGATCCAGCTGAGAGGAAACCCGAAACAAGACAAGGCTTCAATGACTTTTAGGCAACCCAACCTACTGCAGCTTAAGTACACAGAGTGTAGGTCTCCTTTTCCTTCTCCTTCTCCCCTTGTAGCCTCCGTTAACAATTCTCACTCCTCTTTGGACTGGGAAGTGGATGATTGCCCTTACTCTGAAAATAAGGCTCTACTCGGAGATAGAGGGGAGGATGGTGTTTTTATCAGGAAGAATTTAGATGGAGACCTGGATCTGGTTGCTAAAAATTGCCTCTTAACAGCTCAAACAGTCATTGCTATATTCGATCAGCTTCTGGATGCTCACACACAAAAAAACAGAATTAAAGACTTTAATAGAAAAGCATATCCCCAAATCAGTTAAGGAAACAAATAGCAATTCATACATTCCAAAACTTACTA